GCATGTAGCTACTACCATATATCGTTCCTCTACAGTAACAGAGTTGTGTCCCCTTCACCACACTGGCACCTAGTTATCACAACATATATACACACCTGTTACACACCTGTAACTGTCTAGACCGTATGCTTTAATTAAAAAAATTACATTCAGTGAGAAATCAAATACACTTAATTTCAGACATTTTGAATTGCTAATCAAATATAAAAAGGACATGATTTATTTACTGAGCTCTTCTAGATAAACTCTTGTTCATGTCTCAATTCAAGTATTAACTACAATCATGTTCCGGCCAGTGACATCTGTACACAAACATATAATCCTTTACTTTGTACAGAGGTCTTTTGTTGTGTGATAAAAATATCAACTACTTGCTTGAATTCAGCACCTGGTGTTATACATGTTATACACGGTGCACACTATATCAGGACGTTCAACCTTTCCTACCCCGATCAGATTTACCTTATCAGTATCCAAAATGGTCGCCCTCACAATGACAAGCAAAAAGCTAAAAAAGATCAGCTATATTTAGATTGTCATAATGATTTCAATTGGTTTCTCAGAATGAAAGTGGAATAAACTGTCAATACAAGACCAAAAAGGAAGTCACTTAACTATACAAGATATACATGCATGGTGTCTACTGGCGGGCTGCCAACAGGATCTGTACAGAAATACAAGGTATCAATGAACATTTTAAGGTAATGTGTTGCCCCAGCAGTACAAGGTAATGTGTTGCCCCAGCAGTACAAGGTAATGTGTCTGTCACATTAAACTGTCCAATACTGTGAGTTTTGCGTAATATTAACTTTTACGACAGAGAACATTATAGCTGTACCTCTGTAACATTACAGCTGTACCACTGTAACATTACAGCTGTACCACTGTAAAATTACTGCTGTACCACTGAAACATTACAGCTGTACCACTGTAACATTTATAGCTGTACCACCTAAACATTATAGCTGTACCACTGTAACATTATAGCTGTACCACTGTAACATTATAGCTGTACCACTGTAACATTACAGCTGTTGTCACACTGGGTATACGTAACACCATTATTTACCTGGATGCTGTACAGGCCCTGTGGAACTCATCACACTGATTGACACCATTACTTACCTGGATGCTGTACAGGCCCTGTAGAACTCTTCACACTGGGTGACACCATCACTTACCTGGATGCTGTACAGGCCCTGTAGAACTCTTCACACTG